TAGTAGTAGTAGTAGTAGTAGTAGTAGTAGTAGTAGTAGTAGTAGTAGTAGTAGTAGTAGTAGTAGTAGTAGTAGTAGTAGTAGTAGTAGTAGTAGTAGTAGTAGTAGTAGTAGTAGTAGTAGTAGTAGTAGTAGTAGTAGTAGTAGTAGTAGTAGTAGTAGTAGTAGTAGTAGTAGTAGTAGTAGTAGTAGTAGTAGTAGTAGTAGTAGTAGTAGTAGTAGTAGTAGTAGTAGTAGTAGTAGTATTTATTGTATTTATACCCCGCCTATCTAGTCATTTCGACCACTCTAGGCAGCTTACAACATATAGTAGTCCTAAATAGAGGAGAACCAATAAGTCAATGATTGAAGAGTGAGTCAACACCTAGACCCTTGAGTCATCTCTAGCTAAAATGATCAACAGCATCTCAGCCGTCTTGAGACCTTCCCCTCCCCTTCCGCTCAGAGTTTGGAAGACAGCTGTGCAGATTTTGTACTTCCCAGCAGATCCACAGACTGGGCCCCATTGTTATCCACACGATTTCTAGTTTTCACTCCCTTTCCCTGGACGGAAAGAACTTAGCAGGAAGAGTATCTCAAGCCTGGTAACATTATTCCCCTGGTGGATCCAAGGGGCCTGTTCCCTGGAACAATGTTGGGAAATTTTTTAGGGGATCCAGGGGTGTTGGAGAGCCACATGTAGGCTATCCTTCACCCAACCCCGTGCTGCCTTTCTAAATATGCATCGTACTGTCAAGCACCACGTACAGGATGGTGGCACAGTATAAATAAATCCTGCATGTGTCTGCGTCACTGGCCAGGGTATCTCCCCATCCCCATTCCCAGGTTAGCACCCCTTTTGCATGTATGCGTTAGGTAGGATGGGGTTATTTTTTGGATTTAGCTTGGGTCTCAGTCGCCTGCCCTTCTCCCTTTGCTTCCGTAGCTTCCCAGTCGTCCCCGACTCTCACCGGAATGTCGGGATCTCCTGCAGCGCCTCCTGAAGAGGGACCCCCAGCAGCGCATCTCTTTCCAGGAGTTCTTTGATCATCCTTTCGTGGACCTGGAACACATGCCTAGCAAAGAGAGCCTGGGCCAAGCCGTGAGTGGAAACGGTACCAGGAAGGAGCCCACGATAAAAGGACTGGACGGGGGGGGAATGGCTCACTCGGAAGCAGCAGGGTGGGTGGGAGCTGGCGAGGAGGCCGCTCTCTGGATGAGACCAAGGAGGAGGGGGGGGCTTCCCTAAGGCTGACTGGGATGCGGCCGGCCAGGGGGAGCCGACGGACGGATGGAATGAGAGACGCAGGGCGGCAGCCGGCAGGGGTCCCTTGATCAGCGGAAGCTAGCATTTACTGGAGCAAGATGCTACAGGAATCCAGACCGACTAGGAGTGTCTGTCCTGGCTGGGGATTAGGACAGTCCATGAAATCTAGAGAGCACCAGGGTGAGAAATACGACATTGCGGAGTACGACAGACTCTTTCTCCGGCGCAGGAGTGGACAGCATCAACAGGTGATGGGGGCCCTCACTGGCCCCGATCCTTAAGAAACCTGTACCCATCCCCTACCCTGCTCATGCCCTATCTTATCCCAATTTAATTTAAACAAACGAGAAAATATTGGCCCCAAATTCCACCCAGACCTGTTTTAGCTACATATGCAGGGATCATATTTTCTAGAAACAAACTCGCCCGTTTCATGGGTCATGTTGGGTCATGGCGAGGGGTGGAAAGATGGTGGGGAGGGCTGCCCCCCTCAGCTTCATGGTCTGAACCAAGTCTCTGGTCTGACCAAAGTCCACTCAGACCAAACCATTCCCCATCTTTCTTCCCAGGGCTTAGCCATGTTGCCCAAGTAATGTCCTCCGATGTGGCAAAGAGTTCTTTATTTAAATGTTAACATCTCACTCTTGCTTTTGCGAGTAACGTCTTACTCACACTTTACATTTTCAATAACCAGGCTGGATTTTTTTTTTAAAAAAAAATCTGCTTGAAAAATACAGACAAATAGCTCCATATCCCACTGACTCCCAAGGAGACATTTTTTTAGAAATAATAAATAAGCATTTTTACACACACGCACACACGCATGCAAAAGAAAACTCCCTAAAACTGGTAGCAATAATGCAGATCATTTTATTCTAAAAACAATACAGTATCATCATGAACTCAAAGAAGCAATGTCTTCTGTTGTTCTGTGTAAACGGGCTACTTCTGAGCTCCAGTTCTTTCCTTCCCATCCCATATTCTGTTCTCCCTACCAGACCTCTCTTGTAACGGAAGCGGTGAAGAAGGACCAGGAAGGAGACGCAGCCGCCGCCCTCTCTCTGTATTCCAAGGCCTTGGAGTATTTTGTCCCTGCCTTGCGCTGTGAGTAGGCTACCCTCCGTTTTCACTTACTTCTTTATAAGGTGTGCAGCTCTAGGAGGTTCCAAAGTATTTGATTTTATTGATTATTATTTAAGATCCATTATCTTTCGCTGATCCATGGAGCCGTAGAGTTGGGTGGGACCTTGAAAGGTCATCTAATCAATCCCCTTCTGACTCCACCGACTTTGCCCTTCTGTGTAATGGATTGTCTTTTCTTCCTCAGATGAAGTTGACGCCCGCAGGAAGGAGGCAATCAGGTGCAAGGTCAGTTGGACGTCCAGACCTTTTGAGCGGGGGATTGTGGAACTTTGGGTGGGCATGGCCAGAACCTCTGGCCCTGAGGGCTGAGGGATTCTGTGAGTTGCAGTGCAAGAGAAGTAACAGTTCAAGTGGCTGTGTGCCGATTTGTGGTTTTTTGGATGACAACGCCTAGAGTCCCCAGAAGAGCATATGATCCAACAAAATGTCTAATTTCCAGGCTCCGGAAATTGCTTAGGTAGAAGTAGTTGTGCCCCGCTTAACGATTACCCCTGTGCTCTGTCTGTCTGCCCATCTGTTGCCATCTGTCTCATTGAATAGACTACCGTACAAATAGCCGTAATTTATATCCCCCTTTCCTCCATTACTCTCAAGACAGCGATGATGTGGTCTCCTTCGCAGCACCATATCCTCACAACAGTCTTTGGTGACCTTGTGCTGGTCAAGAGGGTGTTGGCCCTATGTCACTCCATGGGTCTCCCTGAGTGGGTGAAAACTAGAACCTTGTTTTTCCCCAGTCTAGCATTCGAACCACTACGGCGCATTATCGGTCCTCACGGGCTATTACCAAACCCAGTGAAAAGACACTGGGTTAGAACCTTCTTTCCAAAACAGCTGTAAAAACCTTCAGTCTTGGTTTATATCCCAAGACAGGGAAAAATGGGAAAGTGTTGCTTATAATGCTATGGGAATTGGGTGGCTCCAGGTCTCGAGTGAGAACGATGTGTCGTTAGACTGCA